CTCCACAACGTCAATGCAGATGAGCGAGAAGAGGACTAGTGACACGGGGAGCTCAGTGAATGTATCATGTTTCAGGTTGTTATTTATTTAGAAAAAGATCAGATGAATTACAAGGAAAAACATTTAAGCAGAGGTTTTTTTTTTAAATTTTCTAAAAACATACATGGGAGGTCAGTGCCAGTGAATTTTGTCTGCATAAAAAATATCTCACAAGTCAAAGTTGCAACATATTTTATGAGTTTCTTTATTAAGTTGACCAAAATATATGTATCAGTGACACAATCTCACACCAGTTTTTCTTTTTGTATAGAAACTTAGCAAAAAAACCAACAACAACCTAATATAAACAACATGAATTTATGCTTTTACATATTCACCGCACTTTATGATTGTAGAAAAATCATTACATTACAGGTACATTTCCAAAGTGCCATTCTTGGTTTTTAAAAAAGTATATTTGGACATAACATGACAACAGTCACTCGACATGTAGTTTCCATTGCCTAAGAGCTCCCTTTTGGCCTGTGAAAATTATCATCATGCATTTTGTCACATGCACAAATTCATACTTGGTTTGACTGCACCAGCTGTGAATTGTGAATCCATCATGAAGTCTGAGAATGAACTTTTTCGTAAGTTATTCAATATTACGTTATCTTAAAATGGTACAAATGGCACTTAGATAAGTGCCATTTGTACCATTAAAACTTAGGTGTAATAACAGAAAATGACTGTGGCATCACAATCTAGAAAAATGCTTGAAAATTACAATATATTAATCCCAGTCTTATAAATTTGAACATTTGAGCTAGATTTTTTTCTTAGCTTTTTTAATAATTGTCTTCTATTTAAACAGGTTTTTATTTAGCGTGATGCCAGATTTGATGAACATATTACATATTGTTCTTCTACTCCTCGCTAAAACATCATATATTCAATGTTCGGCCTGTTATTTGGTGTAAACATCTGGTATGAACTTTCTTGGCAATAACTACTTGAGAAGTCCTTTTGTTCTTTTAATACTTAACCTATTACTTGACTCGTTTTAAGAAGTGCCGGTGCAGCCACCATCTGAATCAATACATTCTGTGTTTGTGTCAAACCTTTGCTTTAACCACCTCTTTTAAGGCAGTTGAGTAGCTGTGCATGACACATGGTTCAAAAACAAATCTCATTTCAGTCTTTGTTTAGCCAGTTTCCTTTTGATTGGCTGCCCTTTATAAACCAAAGGTTTAAACAGCATGTAGGTGGGGCTTCTGTGCTCACAGGCAAAGCTAAGTGCCTGAGACGATCATATAAGTGATATGGACTCTCTATAATGCCATGGAGAGCCACAGAAAACATAAAGCTGTCTGAAACAGAGTGTTTAGAGCGGTCTGAAGCCATCATCTACAAATTTGGCTGTTTAAAATGAGCACCCACTGTCGTGACAGTAT